GGGGTGAGGTTCTGCCTTGCGGGGTGTGTGGGGTGAGGTTCTGCCTTGCGGGGTGTGTGGGGTGAGGTTCTGCCTTGCGGGGGGTGAAGTTCTGTCTTGACGGTTGGTTCTCCCTGAGGGAGGGAGGGTCTTGACGTTGAGGGTAAGGTTGACCCATGACCAAGTTGTGATTCTTTGATGGTCTTACTGGTGCTGGAGAGGGCAAACTATTTCTAGTTCTCAAATTTTTCGCAGGCAAATGGAGCGTTATTTGAAATTGGAGAAGATAGGGGAGGGTACGTATGGTGTTGTATATAAGGCGCAAGACCCGTCGGGTGTATTGTACGCATTAAAGAAGATCCGTTTAGAAAATGAGATTGGTGGAATTCCATCGACAGCAATTAGAGAAATAGCTTTACTCAAGGAGCTGCAGCATCACCCTAATATTGTGAGGTTGCATGATGTGTTGCACACAGACCGAAGGTTATTTCTGGTCTTTGAATATCTAGACCGAGACTTGAAGAAGTTGTTGGATGTTTGTGATGATGGTTTAGACCCGTTGACAACCAAGTCATTCCTTTATCAGTTACTTCGAGGTGTGACCCATTGCCATGACCATCGGATTCTGCATCGGGATTTGAAGCCTCAGAATTTGTTAATAAATCGAGAAGGTGCTCTCAAAATCGCAGATTTTGGTTTAGCCAGAGCCTTTGGTATTCCTGTTCGCGCTTTCACTCATGAAGTCGTCACCCTGTGGTACCGACCACCTGAAGTCTTACTCGGTAGCAGGCAGTATACCACCAGTTTGGATATCTGGAGCATTGGATGCATTTTTGCCGAAATGGCATCCGGTCGACCACTCTTCCCGGGCACTTCCGACTCAGATCAACTACAGAGAATATTCCTACTCCTAGGCAACCCCGACCCTCATTCATGGCCAGGACTCAATGACCTGCCATCCTGGAAGGTAAACTCAAACTTGTCACACAAACGCCCTTTTTTAGACTGTAAAAAACGAACTTCCTACTGGACCCAAACAATCCGTCAGGTCTCTCCTCTCCAGGCTAGACTCCGCAGGCATCGACCTACTACTCGTAACCAACACCAACACACACAAGGCACACACCCATTCATCAACACACAAGGCATATCACCAACACACACGTATGATCCACACAAGGCATATGATCCTGCTTCAGAAAATGCTCGAATATGATCCCGAAAAACGGATATCTGCTCGGGACGCAATGAGGCATCATTACTTCAGCACTTAGATGCCTATAGAAACCCAGACTACAAAACAAACAAGTCACATGTGCTGCAGCACTCCCAGCAAAAAGGGACTTGAAATGAAGAGCTTGGAACGAGGGGCTGAAAAGGGGGATTGAAGGTGCTGAAAAGGAAATCGAAAAGGAAGCCTGCGTCCACAAGGAGGATTGAAAATATAAGCGGGGATTGATTTCAACTTAATGGGGGACTTTAATTGAACTCGAGAAACTTACGCTCCTGTTGGCAAATGTAAATATAACTTGGCAAGACCGGGTCGTCTCGTTACCTGTGCCACATGCTTCTGGGCGAGCCCCATGGTTGTTCCACGACACCACTTCGGGCGTCTAGCTCAGATGGTAGAGCGCTCGCTTTGCATGCGAGAGGTGCTGGGATCGATACCCAGGACGTCCAGTTCTGAAGCAAATGAAAATTGGTAGCCACTTACTTCTCCGGATGCTCAGAGAGAGAGTAGATAGATAGATAGATATCCATAGTGCTTGTCTTGAAGCGACCTGTTGCTTGGTGCAAAGGGGGAAGCGTGTCAATGTAAAAGCTGTTGATGTTGATGTATTATTAGAGCACGCAAGATATTCCAGGCCATGCAGTACATTACAAAACTGCAGAAGCTTTTTGGTTGTCGGAATCGGTCGCAAATTAGGAAAGGGTTTTACAGCATGTCTTGCACGTGAGGCGACCCGACGGCCTTGTGCAATTTCTTCAGCCCATCAGCGTCACGTTTTTGGAGTTGATTGTGCTCACTGGCGGGAACAACACAGTAGAGTAGCTGCCGGAATCGGAGGACTAGAGAGTAAAGGGTTTTGAGGTCATACTCATACTCTTCGGGTTCTTCCTCACGTTGGTGGAGAGGTCGTTTGGCCCGTTGCCGGATATGGAGAGCGAGCATCTTAAGGGCATCTTCAGCGGTCCGTAGATCCCGGTAAAATTTAGCACACCACTCTATTCGTTCCTTCTCAGTCACTTTCAGGTTGGTGGTCTTCTTTTTGGTCCACTCTTTCCAACCCAAAGCACATCTAGTCCTAGCCGCATCGAGTCTCGCTGACCACTTCTCCACGGTAGTAACGGGAGCTCTGTGTTCGTCCACTTCTTCCCACTCTATCACCACCGTCGCTGGGTCTTCTGCAACCATAAGTGCACTTACTGGCACCCGATTAGGGAATCTCTGCCCAGTCGCCACCCGTTGTTCTTCTACTTGTTCGGCACAACTCACCTTGCCCGGCTTGCCCACCCTGGTCTCCGAAACAACCTGTAGGGTCTCCGAAGTAATCTCCACAGTTTTCGAAGTAACCTCCAGGGTCTCCGAGACCTTTGCCGCGAAGTCCAGTCTGTACAGCCGCTTTCCATCGCTGCTTACGTTTACGATTTCGACCAAGGGAGCACCGTTCGAGTTCGTAATACCAACCGGCTTCGTCACTGGCAGGCTCGGCTCGGGAGTTTGACTCAGGGCTTCAAACTCGGGCTGTCTGGCCAACCATGTCGCAAGGTGCGTATACCGCGGCCTCCCGCTGCGCAAGTTGATAATTCCGTCGTGGATTTCCGACAGTTTGTAACTCTCCTTAGCCGCCCCTGCTCGCAACAATAGAGCCAAACCAGTTTGGGAGCCTCGAAGCGTCACAGAAGCCGCATCCGCATCCACAATCACTGAACTTAGCAATCCACCACACAGCATACGGCCCACGTTCCCGGTACTGCTCTCCACTCCTCTCGTCATCACTTCAAAAAAAATCCGAACTTTGCCCCTGAGCAGAAGCTGGCTGGATGACAAAACATCGTGGCGCCTTCATGGGACAGCACCACCCACACCTTGCGCCTTAACCCACTAGGGGGGACCCGAATATTGAAGAAAACGCGCAGCTCAAACACACGTTCGTTCCAGTCCCAGCGCGAAACTATTCCGAGAGTGCCTGCCCTCTAAGTGCCACCCGAGAGTGTTGTATCCACTTCCGGGTTCGTATGCCGTTCTCTGCACTTGGGAATCTCCTGACGAGAGCAAATAGTAGGATGGGAGGTGAAAAAAGTTCGTTCACCAAAAAAGATTTTATGGCAGTTTCTGCCCCTCCAATGACACGCACGGG